TTTTCACATGTGTATCTATCCTGGGAGGCAGAGGATGGTGAATTTTGGCCACTCACTTTTCTCCTGCCATCAATGAGATGCCTTCAATAATTATAATTTTAAATGGCCCAAACTCTTCCTAATCATAATCTCTAGCCTCTATAGTTGGCTACCTACATTATTTTCACCTATCTTTACTTAATATTTTAAGTTGTTATGTACAACCTCTCTCCACACTGCAGTATCCTCCGCTATGATTAGTAACCCGGCATTCAAGGAAAGCAGTCTGGGAATACAGATCAGGGGAACACATGAGAAGGCGTATTTGGGGTCAGGGTCAGGGACAGAGGAGAAGGAGACACACACGGGAGCGGTGGGGAGGCAGTGAGCAGTGGCTGTCGACCTCTGGTCAGGAGGCCTCCTTTCCCCAGCCCCCCCACCTGTACTCCCCGGGGCCAGACCGATGGCCTGCTTATTGGTCTGAGTCTAGCCCTGAGTTAAAAGAACAGAAGCAACGGCGCTCTTTTAATTAAGCAGATATTAAAGATACTGTTTACGAAAAACAAGAAGCAGACGGCACTGACTTCTGGCTTTCATCCACAGAAAAAGAAAAGGAAAAAGAAGTTTCTATGCCTGAGACTGGGGTTACACCATCCAGACAGGCAAATGCCTGGACAGCTGCTTAGGGCAGATGGGTCCTCTGATGGCTCAATATCGCAGGGTTTCTGGTGACTCTGCAGCCCCGGCAGCCGACGTGAGACCATCTGTTCGCTAGTGGGCAGGAAAGCTCCCTACCAGCAGGTCGCCGCTGCTGAGGCTGAGACACAAGCCAAACACCAAGCCAGCCATCTCCATAACCGCTGCAGAGCAGACCGGCCTGGCACACCCTGGCCCGGCTGCCACCGAGGAGGAGACCTGGCCCCGGGCCCACGTGCCCTCGACAACAGGGCCACATGCAACGAGGATATTCGCAGAGGCTTTCTGTTTGGTTGGTGGTTTATTTTTATCTTTTTTTTTTTTTTTACTTCAAAAAAATTTTGTTTGTTTTTATGTGAGTATAGTTGACACACAATGTTACATTTAGTTTCAGGTGTATCCAAGAGATTTTATTTGGGTTTTGTTCAAAGTATTCAGATGCTATGAGATAGATCATTCACTCAGAAGGCTCTTTTGTTCTTGTCTACTTCTCTGAACAGGAAAAGAAAATAACCATGAATTCAGAGCCACCTATAATAGGCCTCAAAACCAGCTGCCACTTGTTTATTATTAAAATGAAGAAGATTTTTAGAGAAGTAACATACATTTATTGCAAAAGGTTTAGAGTGAAAAAATAAACAAATCTCCCTCCTTCCCTTCTCCCAGTACCTATCTCCCCTTCCCCCTCCAGAGAGAGACAGTGTTACCCATTTCCTGCAATCAGAAATTGTCTATAATACATACTCATATATGAATACACATATTATATACATACATGTCCTTACAACTTTCTTATTGGCTGTATTGAAAATGAACAAAGGCATTTTTAAAAAAGACTTTGTTTTTAAGTAGGCTCCATGCCTAACGTGGGGCTCGAACTCACAACTCCAAGATCAAGAGTCACATACTTTACGCACTGAGACAGTCGGGCGCCCCTAAAATAAACCAGGGCATATGAAAGCCTCTGAGAAGAACCACAGTAAAGAAGCCTGTTTCACTTCGTTAGCATACTATCTACTGGTCTTTGACCTGGGGTCCTCTCCCTCCCCTCTGGTGTAATTTCTGATCTGTGGAATAGAGCCAGGACTCGCTGCTCCGGCATTATCAGGTGTTTCTGGATAGGTCTGTGCTTCAGCTGTCCTTTAAATTTTTTTTTAATGTAAAGATAATTCCCATATTTTTCTTTTTTCTTTATTTGCCTTTCCTTATTTTCTTTGCTCCTTCTTTTCATATTGCCTATGCATGGTTCTCTTGATCTTTTCTTTCTGGTTTATTATTTGCTTTGGTGGGGGGCAGCTATTTGCTGAAATGCAGTTCTTGAAGAGATGAGGGTACCAGGTAGGGTGGTCCTACAAGCTTCAGTTCAGGCTGTGACCTCACACCACGTCAACCTCTCTCCACACTGCAGTATCCTCTGCGTGAGGCCGCTTCTTCCCTCAGCTGGGTATGTCCTTTCTCTTTACCCTCCTTCCTACACGGCGGTCAGCATGACTTAGAAGAAGTTTCTTTAGGCCCCAGGTACTCTTGGACCAATTTGGGGGCATTTTATTTAGGATTAAAAAAATCTCCACATGAAAGTGGGACTGGAGTAAAATTTTCTTTTCTTGTGCTATCCTTATTTGTTTTGGGTATAGCACTATGTTGGCCTAACAAAATATGATGCCCGAATCTCCATCTCCAAATTAATTTTTTTTTCAAAATTTTTTACTTGTTCCTCTTGTCTCTGAAACTTGGTTGGAATGTTGCTCATAGATTTTTAAATCCTAAATCCTCTCTTTTAAAAGATTTTATTTATTTATTTGACAGAGAGAGATAGTGAGAGAGGGAACACAAGCAGGGGGAGTGGGAGAGAGCAGGGAGCCCAATGCGGGGCTTGATCCCAGGACCCTGGGATCATGACCTGAGCAGAAGGCAGATGCTTAATGACTGAGCCACCCAGGCGCCCCTTTATAAATTTTTAAAGGTGACACAGATCTAGTTTATCAATGGTATATTTTGTTATTCTGATCCCTTTCCTTCTGACTTCTGACCAGAGAACCTCTCAGAATGTTCTTCAGGGAAATTATCTGGGAGATAAAATATTGGTCTGAACTTAAATCCCTCTCATCTTTGGATTTCCACAATTAACTGAGGTACAAATAAGATCATGTGCCACATCACTACTTGTAAAACACAATATAATTTTCAAAGTTACACCAATGATATGATACTTGACAATAAAGGAAAACAGAACAGAAATCAAATTAACCTTTCCTCAAGAAGTCAACAACAAGTTGATGACTAATACTAAGTCAAAATTCCAAGCCTGAATTTTCTGGGGGCCGGGAGGAGGGATTTTATCTCTTATCTATACTTGACCTTTTATTCACAGAATACGAACATCCAGAATAAATTATAAAAAATCTAGTGTTTTGACAGCCTTCATCTCTTCCTTCCATTTATAATTTTTAAAGACATTTAAAATTCTTCCATATATTAAAGATAGGAGGGACTGCAACTAGAAATGTTATCTCAGAATGCATATGTGAGGGAGAGAAAGCAACCGACAGTTCTAGAACCAGGTTCACATTTTCTATCACTTACAGAAGTATTTTTTTTTTGATGTAGTGTTCCATGATTCATTGTTTGTGCATAACACCCAGTGCTCCACGCAGAACGTGCCCTCTTTAATACCCATCACCAGGCTAACCCATCCCCCCCTCCCCTCTAGAACCCTCGGTTTGTTTTTCAGAGTCCATCGTCTCTCATGGTTCGTCTCCCCCTCCGATGTCCCCCCCCTTCATTCTTCCCCTCCTGCTATCTTCTTCATTGCATTATTTGTTTCAGAGGTACAGATCCTTACAGAAGTATTTTAACAGGAGTTGGAATTTGCTAAACAAGGACCCGGATTGAGAAAAATACTTTAATTTCCCAGGCGAAGAAAACTATTCATTAGTACAGGCATCCAAATTAAAATCCCTTGAATTATCCTTACTTTGCTAGAACTAAATAGTAGGAGGAAAATAAGCCTGCTAATTCGAGTGGCAGACATTACTGGAGAGATGCCTTTGCCAGGTCCTTCCCTTCCATTCTAAATGCCTCAGTATTTCTCTTCCCTCTCTTTGGCAGATGGAAGGGAATTTTTCAAAGGCCTATCTGTTTACCATTATTTCGGGGTAATTCTTAGTTAGATTCTTATTTTTTTCCACCAGGTGACCATTACACATTTTTTTTTTTTTAATTTACACCATTGAAAAACATTTAACTACACAGGTAAAGATCTACTTCGATCTAGAGTACAAGGTTTAATAACAAAATAAATGGTCTGTGCAGTGCGCTTCTAAAGTTATACTGCACACGTTGATCCACAAAAATGAACACAGTCGAATTAGACAGGGGGACATCTGATTCTAAATATGTCTTTGCTTAGAAAAAGAAAAGCTATGTCTAAACTAAAGAAAAAACCAATACTAATAAAGAAGACTCGATTACTTCTGGCAACTTAGGAAGTGTTGTGTAGGAAGAAATGGAACTGGAGACTGGACTCATTTCTCAGTCACTGAGTTCTGAGAAGTGGTTTTTCCCTGGCATCAGGGTGGTGGGGAGGCAGAGACAGTCTGCCACAGTGGGAAGAAGATCTGTCTTTGGAGTCAGAAACACCCTACCCCAAATACTCCATGATGTCCCACAAGGAAGGAAAACTCCATCTCTAAAACAATTCCAATAAGTAACCAGACAAAATCACTCCCCTGCTTAAAATGATCATTCACTGGTCCACAGTGCCCTCTGGGTCTGTGCTGTGTATATTTCTCACATCACTGTTCAAAACACTCCCCCTCCACCACCCCCCGGCCGACATCATCTAGGTTTACTGTGACTATGCCATGTGCTATCCAAACTCCATGTTTTTGTATAGGTTGTTGCCTCTCTCAGAAATTCCTTTAGTCTTCATGGAACAATATGTCATCTTAAACCTGTCTTCTAATTTATATTCACATTAGACACACTCACTGATTATATTTGGAATAAACGAGAAGCTGTGACAATAAGAATATAAAGTCATTTTTCTGTCTTAACTACATTTGGATTGGCAATGAAGAAATCACTGGTGGGGAAATCTCTCATTGTTGGTTCAGCTGGAGGCTGGAAAAGTAGAGGCTCATTCCCAGTCTTGAAACTAAGCCTGGATGCTAATTTTGCCTTCTGTGAAACAGATGATTTAAGTTGTTCTTATAAAGGAAAATAACTCAGTACACTGAAATTGGCCCAATACAAGTTCAGTGAGAATTATGATGAAAGATTTCATATGCTCAAGACGTGCCTCAGTTACAAAAATCAAGCTTTACCTCTTGAAATGATTCACCAGGACTCCAACAAGTTCTCCAATCCGACTCTCATGGGTTGGCTGTTTGCTGAAGAGGCAGACAATGAGGTCTTTGTTGTCTTTTGTATGGAACACTACAAGTTGGTCCTTTCCATTGGAGACGCTCAAACCAGTCAACTGCAAAGGGACAAAGCATGGAAAAATATTAGGATGGTTCTCAAAAGAATAAATTTAAAAATACATTTTGTAATTTAATAATTATTTTTGATCAGTGACCCTGATGACTTCAGTTTTTACCAAGGCTTATGGAACAAGAAAGACGGAAGGAAATAATAAAGAGAAGACTAAAAACTAGTGAAACTGAAAACAGAAAAATAAAGAGAAAAATCAGTGAAGACAACAAGCTGGTTCTTTCAAAGGACCAATAAAATTGTTAAGCCTCTAGTCTGAGAATAAAATTGAGACGACCTAATTACCGATCTGGAATGAAGGAGGGGATAGCACTACAGACCACACAGACATTAAAAGGATAACAAGGAAATATTTTCAACAACTCTGTGTACATAAATTCAAGAACTTGAATGAAATCGAATAATTCCTTGAAAGCCACAAACTACCAAAACTCAGCCAAGAAGAAATAGATAACCTGAATACTGCTTTATCTACTAAAGAAATTAAATTTGTGGTTAGAAACCTTTTGAAAAAAGATGTGCCTGGGTGGCTCAGTCACTTAAGCATCTGACTTCGGCTCAGGTCACGATCTTGGGGTCCTGGGATCAAGCCCTGCAGCAGGCTCCACACTCAGTGGGGTGTCTGCTTCTCCCTCTCCCTCTGCCCCTCCCCTGGTTCATGCCCTCTCTCTCAAATAAATAAATACAATTAAAAAAAAAACTTTCGAAAAAGAAAACTCCAGGTTCAGAGGGTTTCACTGGTGAATTCTACCAAAGGTTTAAAGAAGAAATAACACCAATTCTCCATATCTCTTCTTAAGGGGAAGGGAACACTTTGTAACTCATCTTATGAGGCCAGCATTACCCTGACATCAAAAAAAGGTAAAGGCAGTACAAGAAAACTGTAAATCAATATCCCATAGCCTTCATCAACATGAATGTAAGAACGGCCAACAAAATATCAACAAATTGAATCCAACAATATAAAGAACAATAATATATAATGACCAGGTGGAGTTTATCTAAGAAATGCAAAGCTAGTTCAATATTCAATAATTAATCAATGTAATCCATTGTTGCAACAGAATACATAAGGCACATGATCATATCACTTGATGTGGAAAAAGTGATGAGGGATAGAAGCAGAAAAGTGTTCACCTTTAGCCCAGAAGGCTGACCTATACCCTGCATAGTTTAGATAAGGATCAGATACGTGCTGGTTGTTACATTCTTAAAGGGTCTCACAACTCCCTATACACCTCACTGATAGTTATTATCAAACTGAATGAGAAGCACCAAAGAAATCTTGTGGAAGTAGTTTCACGAGTAGAAATTCAAAGAAATATTTGTTTTTTTTATTTTTTTTAAGATTTTATTTTTAAGTAATCTCTACACCCAACGTGGGGCTCGAACTCACAACCCCAAGAACAAGAGTTGCACGCTCTACTGACTGAGCCAGCCAGGCACCCCTTGAAGAAACATGATCTAATACTCCCTGCACGTGTCCTCCCCCTTGAGCACTAAAGCATATACCCACCAGTTTCATACAGCAAATGTGCACCTCTTTCTGCCCATGGGTCCTGTCCCCGTGCTATTTAAATAAGCTTACTAAGGGACACATGGGTGGCTCAGTCGGTTGGTCGTCTGACTCTTGATTTCGGCTCAGGTCATGATCTCAGGGTTGTGAGATGGAGCCCCGTGTGGGGCTCTGCACTCAGTGGAGAGTCTGCTTGAGATTCTCTCTCCCTCTCCCTCTGCCCCTCCACCCCACCGTGTGCTCTCGCACTCTCAAGTAAATGGATAAATCGTAAAAAAAAAAAAAAAAAGACTAAGTTGCACTGTAAAATGTCTAAAGAATTCTTTCTTGGCCGTTGCACTCCATGATCCGCCAACAACCCGCATGGTGATTGTGGAGGGAATCTAAGAGCCTCGGTGTGACTTGTTAAGTCCCTTTTATTCCCCCAGTCTCTACTTGTTCTTTTCCAGAGATGTCCTGAACAGCATGACCCTTCTGAATGTGTTTTGTCCTAGGGCTTAGGAGAAAACCTCTTGCCTGTGGCTGTACTATGGGGAAGACAAACTCCTGCTGCCTGCCATCAAAATGTCAACAAATCGAATCCAACAATATAAAGAACAGTATCTTGGCCATGATGGTGCTGGGCTCAGAAATCAGACCCTCCCTGTTTTACCTGTTCTTTCAATACCTGCATTCTTCTCAGTCACAGGACGGCCATATATGTCATTAGGATGGCCGCACATCTGAAGACTCCCATGTAAGGTTTCCTCCTAAATAACCTGGTGTGATCTCTCAATGAGCATAAAATCTAAGATACATCTGACCATGTGCTTCCCAAAAGGGACCAGTGGGAGCTCTTACCCAGTTGAGGCATCCACCCAAAGGGAGACCGCTCCCTTGGGGCTGGATCATGGATAATGCTCTTGAGAAAGTTGCTCAGATTAGATAGGAGTGCCATACTTTTGGTTTTTCATGTCTCTCATTTGTCCTTCCCCATGGGGCTGTTTGGTACTCTCCATTCTGCTCTCAGATTGTAAGCACTTCTACCTTGGATATATATATCTAAGATATATATATCCAAGCTAGAAGTACTTATGCTTAATATGGTATAAAATAGCTGCCCCGTCTTAACAAAGGCCATGGCCCTTACCCCATCCATTAATACTAGATCTAGAGGCTTAAAAAAGGGTATTATTATTGGTTGCTAAATATATCAACCTGCCCAAATGGAAAGAGGCAGCCCCAATTTCTGTGGTGATTCAGTCCATTCACCAGCACCTACTGTAGTCTAGGATGTTGCAGGGAAGTGAAGGGAGGTCAACATCCCTTCTCAGGTAGTACAAAGGTGTCAGAGTGGTCCAGATCAGAGACACCTCCTGCCACTCTGAACCCCAGGAGCCTTTAGTAATATTCCTGATGGGATGCCACTTGGAAGCTGAGAAGGATTTTGGTAATGGACTCCTAAATAGTTAATGTACTCTCCTCGTTTTGTAGGAATTAACTATGGGATCAGCTTCCTTGATCCCAAAGGATTCTCCTTTGGGCTGTCTCCTAACACAAGGGAGTCAATTTGGACAAGAGGATTTAAAGAAGAAGTGCCTCCTCTTCTTCTGTAATGATGCTTGGCCTCAATAATCTCTGAAGGATGATAAAACAAAAAGGCCCATTAATGGGTCTTTAAGGTTCAATACTATTTATCCATTGGACCTTTTTGTAGGTGGCAGGGAAAATGGACTGAGATCCCATAGGGTCAGGCCGTTATGGCCCTGTACCAAATCCCTGATCTGTCCAGACTCCTTTAGGGGCTCGAGGACACTCGTCTCCTCACCTCTACTCAATCCACCATCAGCTAACCACCTCCTGTTAACCTACCACCTTCCCTGTGTTTTGTCATGTTTTTTGTGTGCTCCCCTCCCTTGTCTCTCTTGTAAACAGGTTGTTGCCAAGATCCTGTATATGTCTTCCTCTTTTTCCTGAGTTGCTGGTCTTCTCTTTGTTTGCTTCTTCTTTTGTGCAACAGATCTGGAATATATCTTGAGAGGACTGGACGAATGTTGCCTGACTCTTGTTGTTTGGGGGGAGTTTTCTCCCTCATTCATTTCCGGGGTTAATTGTCTGGTAAGTCTACCTTGGGATAGGGACCTTAAGGAACATTCCCAAGAAGCTGCTGAAACTCTTTTCGCTTCAGGGAGGTTCCCTGTCTTCTCCGGCCCGACAGGGACTGCCTATTTTCACTTTCTGTTGGTCGAAAGAAAATGTGTGTCTCTTCACCTGTCCGAGATGACAAGCTTTAGGACCAGGAGTCCTTTTTCTCTGCCCTCTGGGCTTTTATCTGCTTCTAGCCTTGCTGGTGGCACCTCACCTCTTCTGCCTCTACCTCCCCCTCCTCCTGTTTCTGCACCACCTTGTGCACAGATTACATAACCAGCTCCTGTACCATTATCTTCTGTACCTCTGGGCCCCCCCCTCGCTATCAAGAAGTGAAGAGAATCCCTCTCTGAACTCAAACCACCCACTTCAGATTTCCCCACTGGTGTCCCGGATAAATACTGACAGTGGGGAACAAACTGATTCACTTTTAGTGGACCCTGGTGTAACATATTTGGTATTTCAGCTAATTTAAATTTGTTAGTTTATTTAGGTAGAACATGTCTTTAGAATTATCAGCATTAAATATAAAACTTTTATTCTACTAAGGTTTACTGAAGGTCACATAAGCTCTTGTTATCTCTGTTGTAATTTGTCAGCAAAAAGGTGACTTAAATGATGGTTAATTTTGTCTCAGAGTATTTGTGGGTAACTGTTAAAACAAGTAGGGTGAATAAATGAAAGGCTCATAAGTAAAACTTTTAAATAGCTTTCAAAATTTTTTGTAACCTGGAACTTTGAAGTTTTGCTAAATTAAATGATGAATTGGATTGAATTCATTGGATATCTAAGTCTTTCCCAAATAAATACTAAAGCACTGTTTACTAAACGTAGGTTTGTGCTTTTGGCTTCTTACCATGGAGAAACTGAGGATACTTGGGTCTATTGGTAAGCATGTTTTTAGAAATTATGAAATGTGTTCATAAATCTCAGATATAAAGAATCCTGGTGTAAGAGACTCTTCACAATTGGTTACTACTTAATTTTCTCTGGAGATTAAGGTTTCTAAGAGTTAAAATTCTGCTAAATGTAATTAAGACTGATGGAAATAAGGAAAGCAACTCTGTCTGTAGGAAAGTAGGGGACATATGAGAAAGATATAAGGAATGGGAATACCTTTTGTTGAGGGAAAAAGAAATTCTGTCCTAGAATGAGACTAGTTAGAGAAAAGGCTTAGGACAAAATCTGAATGAAAAAGAAAGTTGTAGAATGTTTGTGAAGGGAAATCACTGGAAAAGAATTTTATGTATGGTCAGGGCTAAGACTGAAATGAATGGATTTTATTTTTTAAAAATTATTTTAAGAGATTTTTTTTTAAAGATTTTATTTATTTATTTGACAGA